CAGTCAAATGCCGTGTAATTTCTCCACCACTGAATAAAGAGGTTAATAAAGGTTTTGTAAATAGCAGATAAGCATGAATCAAATATTTTTACATAACATAAAAACGGAATGTTCTAAACAGTTTAAGCTAATTTTTTAAGCATGGAGGTAGTTTTTCCTTCCTAGGCTTTTTGATAATCCCCAAAACTTTGAAGTATACCTAGTTTGTAATTTTTAAAATTATACATATTTGAAGATGGAATATTACAATTTGCCTTAGAAGCCTGGGAATAGCACCAGATGCCTATTAATCTGTGGCTTGCTGTAGCTACCCCTTTAAGTGCTATCTTTCTGAATGAGAAAAGCAAACAGCTGCTGAATAGAATTGAAAAAGTGATGTTCTTCTAAGACAAGGATTTGTGCTAAAGCATATTCTAATTGGAATTCTTTCCACTGTCTCGTGTCTCTGACTCTTTAGATTTCTATCACCCCACCCTATTTTTCTCTTTTTCTTTTCTCTTTTTTCTTTCCCCTTCTTTTTCCCCTTCTTTTTCCCCTTCTTTTTCCCCTTCTTTGCCCCCTTCTTTGCCCCCTTCTTTTTTCCTTAATTTTCTCTTTTCCCCTTAATTTTCTCTTTCTTTTTTCTTTCTTTCTTTCTTTTTTCTTTCTTTTTTTTCAATAATTTGCACACCTACATAGTGCAAGGAACAACACTTAGTTGTCCTAAAATGAAGCCACGCCATCCAGATAAACTGACTGTTTCTTTGTCTACCAGAGACAATACGTTTGCTAAGTCTGTAGTGAAATATAATGATAGAACATATTTTCCTTCTCCCTCTGGGGCTCATTAATGTCTGCAATTAGTTAAAGTAGAAGACTTTAGCATGGCCACATTCGGAGAGGTTTCTAATTTCTCAGTGGTTTGAGAATCCTCCACTCTGTTTCCCCAAAACCTTAGCTATGCCCTACCTACTATGGCTTTGATAGTATTGCCCATCTTTGTTGTGTTTAAGCATATTTTCCGTTGATGTGGTTATTCTGAAATTTTCTGATTGTTGAAGCCCTGTGGCATTCAAGTAACCAAGACAATCATGGCTCTCGTGTTATTTTTTGATGTTATCGTGTACGATTTGACTGTTTCATTTGAGTAATCTAGGGACAGTGATGATGCCCCTGAAAGCCTTAGTGGATGTGGCAGAATAAATTAACCGAGGGTTCATCTCAGAACAAACCATTGTGTCAAGGAAAAAATAGCAAAGCCACAGCATACTATTTCAAAACCAACCAATACAGGTTTGCACAGCCTTCTGCAGGTTGTCAGAAGTTTCTTCTGTAGGAATACGAATTCCTTCCTTCCTCTGAGCTGGCTGGAGGTTCTCTTTGTACGTTATGAGCCTCAGACAGGCTTTCACAGGAGGAGAGGACCTTATGGGAAGATCTTGCTAGCAGCCATCCGCAGAAAATGCTAGTACTGTCAGAGCTTTGGGCATTCAGGGAAACATCTGGCCAGTATAGTGGTACCTCAACTTTATGCATAGTCTTCCTATTGAAACACACAAACTTACTTACACTTGTCACGCCTAAAATAAGATTAGTTAAACCACAATGTAGAAATCTGCATAAGCAAATCCGGAGAAGAAAATGCTGAATCTCTGATTGAGGAAAAAAAACCCCAAACACTAACTTCCAGTTTGCTGAAAAATGCCTTCCTCCGCTAAGGATATATTCACCTGCTGAATGCAGCAGGGCAGGCGAGCCTGGCATTACAAAACAGAAAAACAGCAACTTTGTGTCGTCTTCTGCTTAATATTTTGTGTGGCAGTTGCCAGAGGGCTGTCCTCCAGACTGCACACTTTGACCATGTATCTTGTGTCAGTTCTAGCGTTAGTCAGAGCTCTCTAAGTTCAGCTAGGTCCATCGAGTGTCTAACCCTGCTCCCTCAGACTGTCACACTTATGTGTGGAGTCAGTGCACACAGGACTCAAAAAGATACCAAAGCTGCCATCAGCGAGATGGTGGGACTGAATGGTGGAGGGATGAGGGGGAAAAGCGCGCCGAGAAAGAAGAGTGAGGCAGCTGCTAGGTATCCAAGGTGCCCAAGGTGTGATGGGCTCGGCGTTCAGAGCACCCAGATGGGACCTGATGGTACTGGTTACAATGTTATCTTCTCCTGACGGGACAGAAATTGGTCTTCTCTGTGTCAGGAAGTATTTCAACCCATGACCAGCAGCCAGTAGAGTACTATGAGAGTTTTGTCTTCATGTGGCTGCAGTGAGTCTGGAGTTCTTCCAGACTAAATCCTTCAACCAAAGATTGCTTGGGCCAAAGGAGAGTGAGTGTTTGGGAAGACCACTGCTTGGTCAGGGTACTTTAATAACTCTTTATTGAAGAAGAGCCTGTGCCACACACCTTTCCACCCAGTCGAGTGCTGCAAACTGTCTTTCTGCCACCTGGTGGGTCATTATTTACTTCGCACGAAGTGGAACAACTTCAGCTAGAGGGGTGGGAAAGACCCACTCCAAACTGTATTTGAACCGTTAGAGCAGTACTATGGGACTTGTGCATTAAAATCTCGTCGAACCGATAGGAAAGCGTTCGCTAAGGACATTCAGTTCTGACTCCTGATTAAAAGAGAGAACAATCCTTTTCCTCCTGCGTGTTTTGTGTGGAAAGCCTATTACCTTACGTGTCTTGAAGAACATCTGCTTGAATGGATCCTGCACGCGAGACAAGCCAGGTGGAAAATGAGGCTGGTGATTTGTGTCAAGTCTGAGGCTACAAGGAAGTCCAGCCTCAGCAGAGTAAGTCCTCAGGGCCTGAATTTCTCTAGGTGGCAAAAAGCTGCTGAGCTTGCCAGGCAAGGCTGAGCATCTGCATGGTACATGCAAGTAGTGGTTCCTTCAGACAGGGAAGTTCATGTGGGATGTTCTGTATCTTGAAAAGTTGGGTAATCACCAACATTTAAGTCCTCTTAATGAATCTAACCCAAGCTGCATGTTGAAAATAAAGCACAGTTGTGTTTTTGCATGTTTGTAATCTGCCACTTCACTGCACTGCAGTGGGGGGTCTAAGAGAGAGGCATCCCATGATTTCAAGAAGTTCTTCGTCCTGTTGTTGCTGTGCAGAAAGGCAATGCAAATTCATACCATCCCTAGAGCCAAAGTAAAGAAGCTATTCTTCTCAGTGAGTGCCAGGATTGTGCCTGCTGTATTGTGTGCAGTCCAGAACAGCAAACATCTATCACATTCAACTCCCAGGGCTCAGCTGTGCCTTAAAGACATGGTTTAGCTTTTAACAGAGCTGATCAGCACACAATGTTCTGACTGTCGTTCCTAAAGAACAAAATGACAGATGGGCTTATGATATGTTTGTCTGGAGGTAGAGAATGAGAAGAGCAACTTGGTTACTAATTATCTTCTCACAGTTGAAAGGAGAAATGTCCCTAGCTTGACACAATTTGCATGAATGTGGTAAAATTAATGAACTTTCTCACCCTCAGCTGTCCCAAGAATGAGCCTCACTCCAGTGTGGCTCTGAGCTTTGAATGCAGCCATCTGCATTCAGCAGGGCAGCACAGACACAATGTGAGAGTTCAAGAACTCTAAAATCTGTCTCTGCCATCGGGCTGTTTTGCAGCAAGAGTGCTACTGAATAACAGCCGTGGTCATATCAGTGACTGCTACCATTGCTGCTCTTTATTATCCTTTTTTAATGCTATTTGAGTATCAATAAAATAACTATTCTTTCAGATTTGTTATTCAGATTACTATTTCTAAACTGGTACGACTACTTTTACATAAAAAGAATACTCCTGATTTGCTGCGAACCAGTACTTGAAACTGATTCCATTTAATTGCTGTCATTGTTATTTGTTGCATAGGTTTGGGAGTGAGTTTCTGATACAAGAGAAATTGCATCCAGCTGTGCAAGAAGGCTCAGTAATCTTAGGAAGTGAGGTACTACTAGGAGTGAGCGAAGGTGTCAGAGTTGTGTCCTTAGTGGCTGTATGTACCAGACAAAGTATCTTGACTTTAAATTATATTTAGAATTGGTTATGGATAAGTGCTTGATAAATTCCTTTGTATGAAAAGTCTATATGAGATATTATCCATGACATGTTTCATTTGATTATTGTTTTTCTAAAAGCTGCTTTAACACTTATGCCCTGCAACGGGCCTATTATTATTCTAACAATTCAATAAGTAGAGATGTTAAATGCTGTAAAATCAATTTAGTTTATTACTTAATCCTATACCTAAAGAAGGTTTTGTTTGGAAATGTTTTCAAAATTGATCAATTATATTTATCAACTCACACACCAGACTTCTTACTAGTTCTTAGAATAATGAAAGACGATTATGGAGGTGGTGGTGAGGGAAATACAAAAAGCAGTGTCTTGCTTGCCTGGGTATGAAAATGGGAATCATTTGCAGGGCTGCATTTGAAAAATAAAATTGGAACAGTGAAGCATAGCTATCTGACAGTGGAAACAGAAGCTGAAAGCTTAAGGAGTATAGATGCTGCTAATATTCAGGTAAACACTCTAGGCTGTTTTCCCGGTTTTGAAAGCTGGTGCAAAACCAATTTCAGCAATGCAGTCAGTATATTAGGTATTATATTTGTATAATTTTTGAGACTGCCTTGACAGCAGTGAGGTGACTGACCCTTATTGCAGCAATTTGTTTTCCTTTGTTTTGACTGTGGTGGGTCTTTATTGTGAGTCTAATCAGTAGCAGGGGTTTACATCTTCATGTGAGTCTAATTCAGATTTTCTGGGTGGTTAATGTGAAGAATATAATTCTGGATAATTGATAAGCATTTAAGTGCGGCTCACAGCCTAGCAAAGCAAAAAAAAAAAAAAATCTGTTGTAGTCTCAGCCTTTTTTCTTTTGAAAACAAACCTCATCACAACACGTTTCACCATCCACTTTTTTTCAGTTTATCTTCAGTTAGCTTTGCTGATCTGTTTTTCTTCTTTCTTCTTCGGCTTCTCTGTTTCCTCCCGATACCCACAAATGGTTTCAGTGCTGTGACAAGGAGTGTGTTGCACCTTCTCCGCAGCATTCAGATATTTTCTTCATGGCTCTCCGTGTGAAGTCCACTTTCCCCCTTTCTTTCTTGAGAGCCGTGTACTCGTAGGCCTTCAGCTTGCTGTAATAGTCTGAGAACTTGTTGTAGAGAATGGAGATGGGCATGCCGTTCAGGATTATTCCAAACGCAATGCAGAGGAAAGCAAACAGGCGGCCGAGGTGAGTTTCTGGGCACATGTCTCCGTATCCCACTGTAGAAATGCTGACCTACAGGCAAACCAACATGCAGCTTATTAACTGAGAAGCATACCAACAGATATGTTCAGGGATCAGAGACAATTTTAAAGTTACCCTTTTTGCACTTTGCATCATAAATCTAAAATACTCTCTGCTGCCTTTTTCTCTATACCATCCATCTTACGCAAAAATCCCTAATTAAAAAAAAATCCCTCTCATGCAGTAAAGAAAGATAACAGTGCAGTTCGACAGCATTCAGGAGGATTTTTAAAAGCTTTGTCCTGCAGAGGGAATTTCCAAACAATTTCCACATCAGACTGTCCATAAGGTGGGTTTGCTCAGCTGCAGTGAGCAGATAGAGATAGCTCCCTGACTGTGCAAATCCAGTGGTGACTGCAGCCCTGCTCCCTCATCATGTCACTTGGAACAGATGCCCTGTGTCTAAATCCAGAGTGCTTATAAACACTGGTGTTTTGGGACTTATTCTGTGGGTTGTACTTTGAGTATTACCTTTGTTTGTCATATATGTTTTAGGAACTATTGAAAAACATGTGAAAAGCTTCAGCTAATTGTGAAACAAATTTTTATAATGTTTGCACTATAGTAAGAAGTGACCAGGACTTTGGAGTTTCTAGACAAAATTTCCCTTTAATGGTTACACACCTACAAGGAGTTGCGGAAAAAACAAATATGTTTCTCTGTTGCTTGGAAGTTTTTGTTCGTAGTGTATGCTCGCAACATATATATTTATAGTGATGAATTGTTTGATCTTCCTGCTCAGCGGTATGTCAGAGGTTACAAAACCATGATGTATGTGCGCCTTCAGTAGGGAATATTTTTTGTTTGTTTAAGTTGAGAGGTACACAGGTGGGAAATTTTTGCTGAATTCCCCTTTGAATAAGGGTTTGGAAGTTGTTTCAAATGTTGTGTTGTTTGGCTTGGTTTGGTTTGTTTTTTTTTTTTTTTTGTGGGAGTGATGTAATTTAGTATTTCCACTTTATACAAATCTCTACATCTTGCCATCACATTGTCTACATAATTTCACAGACTTTTTTCTTCTCTGCTGTCAGCATTTTCCCTTTTTTAGCCCGCGTATGTATGAAGAAACTGTGTTTTATACGGGTGCAGTACTATACCATGCCCTACAATACTTTCTTTGTAAAACTGAGCTTCAAAAATTCGTGAATGTTTTCTTGTGGAGATGTAACATATGAATTATGTACTCCCAAACAGTCTGCATAAAATAACTCCTAATTTATATACTTCCACTGCACACATCTTAATTGTTTATAATTTTTACATTTCAGAAATATAACTTGTTTTTCTCTGTAAAACTTGCAGGCTTCTGCCATCTGGCACTTCCTAGTCTGTTCAAGGGATGTTTTTCAGCCAATAAATTTGATTTAATTTTTTCCCAGTGTATCAACACTCTGTGTATTTGTGAAATGGTAATCTAAAACTTTGGCAGAAATAAACTGTAGGCAGTAGAACTTCACTGTAAGCCACCCTTGTGGCTTTAGCACTGAAATAAGTCTTTGGAAGGTCACAGTGTGCAGCCTGCCATCCTCTAACATGCTAAATAAAATGTTATTTCAAATGAAGAAAGCATTAGGGTACATGAGACAGCACTGGGTAAGCACATTTGTAGGATGCACCTGGTGCTTCCTGTGGAATAAAAAGGATTAGTCACTTGGTTTAATGGAAATTAAGTCACTGGATTTGAATGATAATACAGGATAAATATCTCCAAAAATAAATACGGAGATGAAGGCAAGATGTTTATCTCTACCAGCCAGGACAAAACCATTATCCTGTGATAAGGTTCTGTTCCACTGGCATAGTCTTCTACATTGCCTGTGAGTTTGGAAGGGATCCCTCTCCTTCCGTGTGTGTAAGAACATGAATGCTGTTGGATTTTAATGAAGTTCAAGTGATCCAGATATCTTAACATTCACTCTTAAAGAATGAATAGGCTTTAAAAAGAGTTTTGTGCCTTGGAACTGCAATGTGCATGCTACAGCTCCTCTCTTGAAGACACTTGTTCAGCTAAATAGGCATTTTTTAAGTTGTCAGTCATATAGGTTTCTTAGGAGTATCTAAATGATGACGGTGTCACCAGCTTGCAAAAGTGAGTCGTAAAGATTTTGCATATATCCTGCATATTCAGAAAACAAAATATAAGGCCAATGTCCTTATTCTAGTGATATATGAAGCACAAATTTTTTTTATATCTGTGTATATCACTTAAAGATGACCTGTGAAGGTTACAGGACCCTTTCCTTTACTCACTGATTTTTTCCCCTCTTTCCCATGCTCCAGCTTGAAGGATATTCAGCACATGTACATATGCACGTGCATACGTGAATGTCTACCTGTGTCTGTAGGGCTAGTTTTTCTGCCATGTACTGAATCACTACAGACGTGTTTGGGAAACCACCACATCTCATCAGCTGTCGCTACACCATAAGCCCAGGCCATGGGCTCCCAGGGCTGCTGGCCAGGAGAAGTCACCTTGGATGAGTTGGGGTTGCTGTTCTCTGGGCCCTGTACACAGCTTTGTGCATCCACTGCCTGTGCTGACTAACCAGCATGAGTCCTTTCCAGTCCATTTGCATGGGCTTCCTTCCCCAGGGAAGACCCATAGCCAGACCTAGGGGTCAGAAGTGCCTCTGAGGCCTTTGCCATAAACATGGATTTATGGAGGCCAGCATTAGCTGCTGTAAAACAAAATGTACATGATGACAGGCTAGAACAAGCCTTAGAGTTATGGACAGCCAAGATATAGGCTCTTTGCCTTCTCTTAGCACCTGCAACTGATCTGGGCCGCTGTAGATACACACATCTTCTGCTGCGTAACAGAGCCGTTGTTTTCCAGCTCTGAAATGCTGCAGGCAGCAGCACAGGCAGGGATCAACTTCCCCCTCTCCCCAGTGCCACTGATAAAACCACCACCCTCCCTGCCAAAAAGTTGCTGTAAAAATGGTAGTTGTGAAACTGCCGTACTTGCGAACGAACATTGTTAAGCATTTGCTTACAGCCTGCAGCTCCCTCTCCATTGTCTGCTAGTCCTGATAAACCCAGAAGTGTTTATTTTGTCTTCACAGCTCACCTGGAAGGATATAACTATCATTCTGGTCTCACAATGGTTTGAGAAGTATTGGTTAGCCTTCTATAAGTGAATGTATGTCCACCCATGGATGTTAATGCAATCCAAGTCTGGAGCTGACCTGCTTCTCAAACCCTTGAGGTGAATTCCAAGTTTGGGGTGCTGCAACAGTTCTACCAGGACATTGCGAAAGCCAGGAGACATTTATCTAAGGTGGAGGACTTTAAACTGTCACAGCTCTGTGTTCCCAGTTAAACCTTCATGGCCCTGAAAGATGTGAACCCAACAGCCCAGGAAATGCTGCCTTAAAAACACCCCGCTACATTACACAGTGTAGTACAGGTCAGCGATAGTTCAGACCTCTCAAGAAGACATGCCCAAATGCCTTAGAGCACTAACCCAGTGGCACTTTCTAGAAATGAGGTCATTCTGTCTTCATTTCTGAGGCTTGTCAGCTGAAACTCAGCCAGTTACCCTCACTCCAAGTGCTTGGGATGAGACTAAAATCACACTCTTCCTGGCAGAGGTTGCAAATACAGATTCAAGGTGACATTAACCAGCTCTCAGTACTGACTGATGTGGGATTCAAACCAGTGACCTAGATGTAGAAGGCAGTTTATCCCATTATCAACCCCTTGAGCCATTCTGCTTTTTTTTTGGTATTTATTCCTCTGCAAGTCTGCCACAGCATAACCGCCAATGTTTTGTGTGTGTGCAGTTATGCGCCTTAGGTGTGCCACCTACGGAACAGAAGACAATCTCGTGTGTAAAACAACTGTTGGTCCTAATGCATTTTTAATAGTTGGAGCTCTGGGACAGCTTTGGCTTTGCAAGTTTTGAGTGATCAGACTATGGTTTATAAACTATGTCTTATCATCTTGCAGTTGTATGATGGGTCACAGGAGAACTGCAAAAAGCACATGCATTAAATTCTGTGTCCTCCTGCAACCAGCTAACCTGATGCAAGCTTTTTTTTCTTTTCCTGCTTTTTGTTGTTCTTTTTTTTGGCAACACTAATGATGAGATTAAATGGGAAAATGCTTTTCTTTCCTGTCTCTTTACCTGCTTCTTTAAAAGTGCAAGTACTGTCTGCATTTAGTCGGATGGGAATTTCAACACTGTCTGCCTGATTAAGCCTCGATTTAAGCTTACAACAGAGGTGAATGAGTGCATGTGTGTGTGTGCGTGAGTGAGTGCATGTGTCCTGTAAGCTCAGAATTCAGAGCAGATGTTCACTGATCCGAGCCTGCTGTTTTCAAGACTGTCAGCGACTCTGGCAAAGAAGGGGAGGGGGAGGGAGGGAGGGTCTCTGGCTACACGGTAAGGTGAGGCAGGTTTACTTACGGCAGCCCACCACCAAGCATGGGGGATGCTGGTGAAGTTGGTACTGGAGACATCGTGCTCCACTGTGTAGACCATGGCAGAGAAGGCGAAGATGCCCATGGCAATGAAGAGCAAAAGGCAGCCCACCTGCTGGTAGCACTGGCGCAAGGTAAAGCCAAAGGCACGCAGCCCTGTGGAGTGACGGGCCAGCTTGAGGATGCGGAAGATGCGCATGAGGCGCATGATGCGAAGCACTTGTCCCACCTTGCCCACCCGTCCCACCTTCTCGATATCGTGCTCATGCTGAGAGCCTCGACCTCGGGGCTGGTCATCATCAGCAAAGCATTCGAGCAGCAGCTGCAGGTAGAGGGGCAAGATTGCAATGAGGTCTACTGCATTGAGGGCGCTGCTGGCAAAGCGGCGCAGGTCTGGGGTAGAGACCAAGCGCAGCAGGTACTCCAGAGTGAAGAACGCGATGCACAGGGTCTCAATGTGCTCCAAGACAGGCCGACTCTCCCATCCTGCTGCATCCCCTCCACTGTGTTGAGTGCCAAGGCCACCACAGAGATGAGCACGAAGAAGCTGGAGGCCACTGCCATCACCTTGGCGGTGACAGAGGAGAAGGGTTTCTCCATGAGGTTCCAGAGGCGCCAGCGCTGCGGACCATAGTAACGCATGTGGTGGAAGAGCTGCTCGTTCTCCTGAGCCTCTGCCTGGGAGCGCAGCTCGCGCTGGACCTTCAGCTGCTCACTCAGCTCACCACAGAGATGAGCACGAAGAAGCTGGAGGCCACTGCCATCACCTTGGCGGTGACAGAGGAGAAGGGTTTCTCCATGAGGTTCCAGAGGCGCCAGCGCTGCGGACCATAGTAACGCATGTGGTGGAAGAGCTGCTCGTTCTCCTGAGCCTCTGCCTGGGAGCGCAGCTCGCGCTGGACCTTCAGCTGCTCACTCAGCTCATCACGGCGCTCCTCGAAGCAGATGCGGCAACAGCGAGGTGTGTATTTCAGCCGCACGCCCCAGTAGCTCAGCTCCTCCAGGAAGCTGCGGGGACACAGCTCATCTCGCACGCGCAGCACCCCCGAGGCGTAGAAGTTGTACACCAGCTGGAAGACAGCTGGGTCCCGGTCAAAGAAATACTCATCTACCTGGGCAGCGTAGTCATCGCACAGCCCCAGCTGGCAGCGACGGTCCGTGGAGGTGGCCAGGCGGCCCAGGCGGGTCTTGGGATAGACGGACACTGCCTGGTAGGTGAGGCGGTAGCTTTGGCCACCGACATTGATGTTCAGCACGGATGAAGTGGAAGCCCTGGCTGGGCCTCCAGAGGAAAGGGCAGGGGAGCAAGGAATGGATGACGAGAGCTTGTTTTCTCCGTCGAATGTGTCTCTGCTTGGCCATTTTCCTTGTTCTTTCTCTTCCTCTTCTTCATCTTCATCGTCCACGTAGTAATTGTAATTCCCCTCAGGTCCAAGGAGCAGTAGAGGCTGGGAGCTCAATGAAGCAGTAGCAGAAAAGCTTCTCTGCTTGTCTACATGCATGCCTTCGTTATCCTTTCCCTTGTTGGGCTGCGGGAGGACATTTGATGCTTCCCTCTCTCTGCCTTTATGTGTTAGGAAAGGAAACTGTCGCTGCATGTTGAACTGCAACATACTATTTTTTCTTACTCTTCTCTCTTCTTTGTGTTCACCTGACCGAGGAATCAGCACCAGTCCTCTACAACACTACAAAGGCTGACAATCCTGTTTTCTTCTCTCTTTGTCTCGGTAGTGTCACACACAGCAGTGGTTCTGCATTTTTCTCCCTGCCAGCCACCACTCCAGTTGTTGTGAGAGCTCCGTGTGGGATATAGACACATGAAGACTGCTGTTGGCCGTTTTAATCTTGCTGACAGGGAAGATCTGAGTGCTTAGAGAAGGGGATTTAAGGGCTATTATCCTGTTCCAGCCTCATCTCCCTCAGGCTGTGACGCGAATGATTATGGATCCATAAATCTATGAAAAATTGGTAGGGGAAAATAAACCCTAAAATTTTGTTGCTAATAAACCCTGTACATTTTCCTAATTCAAGTATATATAGATTAAGAATAATCTCAAAACGAAAATGTATGAGGGGTAGGGTGGGGAAAGAGAGGGAGAGAGAGAGAACATTACAGTTTTCTGCCATGTACATGAGTATAGCATGTCAGTCTTCCTGAATGAAAATAATGAATTGTTGATACGCAGATAATCTTAGAATCATAGAATGGTTAGGGTTGGAAGGGACCTCAAAGATCATTTTGTTCCAACTCCCCTGCCATGGGCAGGGAAACCCTCCACTACACCAGGTTGCCCAAAGCCTCATCCAACCTGGCCTTGAACACTTCCAGGGATGTGGCATCTACAGCTTCTCTGGGCAACCTCTTCCAGTGCCTCACCACCCTCTGAGTGAAAAATTTCTTCTTTATATCTAATCTAAATCTGCCATCTTTCAGTTTAAATCTGTTGCCCCTTGTCCTATCACTACATGCCCTTGTAAAAAGTCCCTCTCCAGCTTTCCTGTGGGCCCCCTTTAAGTACTGGAAAGCTGCTATAAGATAATGGATAGGAATTCACTACAGTAGCTCTTAAAATGTTTTCCAAAGGTTGGTAAATAAAAATCGTTCCTTTTTCTTCCCAGTTAGAACATCTCCATCTGCTTATGGGCTGAGGAAAATCGCAGTCTGTGCCTGAAGCTTTGGCTGTGCTATAGGAGCGTGGGTCTTGTGCTCCTCTGGTCACAGTGTAAGTGAAGGGCAGGGATGTGAAGGGGTTTCCAGCACACTGCTTCACTTCAAATTCTTCATGAGCTGCTGAGAAACAGAATAAAGCCACTCTTGTTTCTCTTGCAGGGCATGTTTAATAGTGTAAAACCATACTAGGTACCTAGCAGGACAGGACAGATGCTTGCTCTTTGTTTTGATGGAGTTTTCATCCTCAGCTCTGGTTGAGTTGACACAAGCACCTCCAGTAATAAGAAGCATCCTGACTGCCAGGTTACTGCCCCTTGTCACTGGGAGCACTTCGACTGAGCTGGAGCTGCTGTAAAGCAGAGGATATGCACAGTAATGGGATGGCTCCTTCGGCATGCCCTCAGCCCCTGAGCTACAGCTTCTTAACACCAGCTCATTATTCCACCGGTATCCAGGCTGATGAAGGAAGACACAAAGCACAAGAAAACTGCTGGGTTTGGCAGCACCCTCGCTGGTCTGGAAGGCCTTCCGTCTGCAATCCTGTAGCCTGCATTCCACTTGCAGCTCCCTACTCTTTCACACAAGCTGCTGGGACAGCGCATTCCAGAGTCCCTGCAGCAGTGTTTTTCCTTGGTTGTCCTCAAGCTCCTCTTCTTGTATCGTTAATCTCATGGTTTTGCACCTGCAAATGCCAGTACTGTTGTTTTGGTGTTGTCCCGTGTGAAACCATTGTTATTGCCATAAGAATCATCCCTTCTTTCTTCCCTTTTCCCTACCCCTGGTTGTAGCTTTTGTAGATACTAGCTCTTGACAAACAGGAAGACATCATTACTAAGCATTTTTCAATACTTTTGCTCACAGGCTGCATCCTAACGGGTGCACCACACTGGATAGTTCAAGGTTCCTTCAAGTCACGCTGTTTAAGGCCTGGATTATTGGCAATTCATATTTAACTGTGCTTGAAAGTGTTTTGCTTCATGAATTTGTCCCCACTGCCCATTTGTTTTCTTGATGCAAAAAAGACGAGGCCCCTATTAATAGGGATTGTTAGTGCCTTACTACAGATCTGAATCTGCTTTGCATTTTGCTTTGAACATTAAACCATGCCATGATGAGTTCCTTATTAGCAACTTTAATGCAAATTAATGTCCAATTTCAAGGCTCTTTCTTTCTCCTAAGCAAACTGATTCAGACATAAGAAAAAACATAGTTTGCAACGCCATCATTTTATTATCTAAAATTTTTGAATGTTTCTTAATCAGGATTGAGGGTAGACTATAACCATATTTCTCTTGCCAGTCTCTGTTGTAGCATTTTGTTTTCCTTTTTATCCGGCTCCCTGGTCTCACTTCTGAGAAGTATCCAGTAAGGTTTACTGCTCACTACTCAAAAGATCATTTCTGATACCGTATGGCAGTAGCAGGAGCTTCTACAGGGTGAACTTCATGACTCTCAGATGCCAACACCCATGCACCTGGCCTAAGACCTTGATCGTCACTACTAAGCAAAGCAAGAAAAATCGCTGGCCTCACTTCTGCTCAGACTTATCGCTTTGACCTAGATATTCTAGGGAATGTACCTTTCACGCACCTTGTATAATCTTCTCAAACTTGCCTCTAACTGACAAAGTAGGTAAAATAAAATTGCTTTATTTATGTTCTTTACTTTGGGGTGAGACTTGGTTCTGAGCTGCTAGACTCTCAGCCTAGAGAGATAAGAAAATGAAGTGACAAGAAAAGACGTTTTTCTCCACCTTTTTTTTCTTTAGCTGCCTTATTCAGTGTGTTGCTTATCGTAGAATCATAGAATGGTTAGGGTTGGAAGGGACCTTAAAGATCATCTAGTTCCAATACCCGTGCCATGGGCAGGGAAACCCTCCACTACACCAGCTTACCCAAAGCCTCATCCAACCTGGCCTTGAACACTGCCAAGGATGGGGCATCCACAACTTCTCTGGGCAACTTGTTTCAGTGCCTCACCACCCTCTGAGTGAAAAATTTCTTTCATATATCTAACCAAAATCTCCCCTCTTTCAGTTTAAATCGATTGCCCCTTGTCCTATCACTACACGCCCTTGTAAAAAGTCCCTCTCCAGCTTTCCTGTAGGCCCCCTTCAGGTACTGGAAAGCTGATATAAGATCACCCTAGAGCCTTCTCTTCTCCAGGCTGACCAGCCCCAACTCTCTCAGCCTATCTTCATAGCAGAGGTGCTCCAGCCCTCGGATCATCTTTGTGGCCCTCCTCTGGACTCGTTCCAGTAGCTCTATGTCCTTCTTGTGTTGGGGACTCCAGAGCTGAACACAGTATTCCAGGTGGGGTCTCACGAGAGTTGAGTAGAGGGGCAGAACCACCTGCCTCGACCTGCTGGCCACGCTCCTTTTCATACAACCCAGGATATGGTTGGCTTTCTGGG